GGGATTGCGAAATGGTACAATTGCTACAGAAGGCAATTTGGTGTTTCCTCAAAAAAGCTGAACACAGAAATTCCCTATGACCAAGCTATTCCACTGCTAGGGATATACACACCTTAAAGACATAAAAAATGAAACATGAATGGACATTTGTACACTTATGTTCTTTGCAGCATTATTCACAATAGCAAGAAAATGGAAGTAGCCCAAATATCCATCAACAAATTAATGTACTCAGAAACTGTGGTACACAATGGATTACTATGCAGCATTAAGGAACAAGAATTTCCTAAAATACTATGTAACGTGAGAGTCTAGAGTGCATTATACTGAGTGAAATAACTTAATCGCAAAGGGTAAATACTGCATAAGACCAATTTTGTGAAAATCTGAGGGTAACTGAGCAACGTATGTACGTGGTTGTGTGTTATGTACCGTCGAGTTGCCTGAGACAGCAATGCTATATACAACACCCCTAATCCCTGCTCTATCCTGTGCCAATCTTACTGCCTCAGACTTACCTAACCCCATTAGCCTAGTCAATCAATTCATCTGATTAAGGGTCTTCCTCTTTTGCTCTACATGTATACAGGTTCGAAAGTGGAAGGGGAAATCTTGATGGGGAGGCAGAAAAAGGGGGAAAAATCAGTGGGATAGTAGAGGTCAGTGGAAAGGAAAAGGGGGGAATGAGGAAGGTTCAACAGAGATTTGAAAAGACAGGGTGATAATTTTGTTGTTGCTATATATGTGCCAACGAATCACTTGAGATTCACGGCGACCCTAGGGACAACAGTCCTGAAACCTGCTCTATCCTGCGCCAACCTCACAGTCTTTTGACACACCTACCCTTAGTACCCCAGTCACTAATAATAGGCATAGATAAACACTAATTAATGACAAAATATAATGTACAGGAATGACTGTATAAAACATACAGGAACCACAATGTATAGGGATAACTGTATAAAACACAAACGACTTGTATGAAACACGGTGTAGATGAAAGACTGTATGCAAACCAATAAAAACAAGAAAACCATGTACTGAGAAAGCAGTCAAATTTCTTCCTTAACATAGCAAAATGCTCTATCATAACACTATCATTAACAGTTCCAGAGGAGACACTGCAATAGAACTACCTCAAAATTAGTCTCAAAACCCCTTCACATTGCAGAGTGGAGTCCAAAGATGAACTATTTCTCAAGCTAATCTGACAACAAAAGCCTTGTATACGTAAGACCTATTAACATTCTGTGCACCCAGAGTTCTGGCAAAAATACTGGGCAACACTGGCACTGAAGTCTAAACTCCTGGAGCTGGCTGCTACTCCTCACTTCTTTTATCTCTTTTAGTTTACCCAAATACTCCCTTTAATCCCTCAAAATGCCAAGTCATGTTTCCTCTCATGCAAGGGTCTTCCTGAGTTTTCACCTGTGATTTACTGTTCCTACTTTCTTTGGCTCTCCAGTTTCAGCTATAGCATTCACCACAGCACAACTATACCCTATCATGCGCTCAAGCCTGTCCTCCCTGGCAAGAGGCCTGGCACATAGCAGGTGTACAATAAATATTTGCTAAATGAAAATATCCTTGCACAATGCTGTTGGAAAAACTCAGTAAAGCGTAATGTTGATATTGTTCTCCTTTTCAGACAATTCAAAGCCTATGATTTGAACACACTTTTTTTGGTCTTATTTCTCACTCTGCCCTTTTTCATCCCACTGTCTTAATTTGGGGGAGACATGGCAACTGAAGGTGCCTCTTGTTCTATCTCTACTTGCACTGTTGTTGTTATTACGTGTCATCGAGTAGCTTGCAAGTCACAGCGACCCCGATGTACAAGAGCCCTAAACCCTGCTTTATCCTGTGTCAACCTCACTGTCTTGACACACCTACTCCCATTTACCCAATCACTGAATCGATCCACCTCATAGAGGGTCTTCCTCTCCTATGCTGTCCCTCCACCCTCTCAAACACGATGTCCCTCTCCAAAGACTAGTCCCTCCTACAACATGCCCAAAGTATGTCAGCCGAAGCTTCAGAATCCTTGCCTCCAACGAGCAGCCTTGGTTTAACCCTCTCCATGACAAACATGTTTGTTCTCCTAGCAATCCATGGTAAATATTTCACCTACTACTTTCAGAGAGTAAAGGACTGCAGCCTTCAGTATGGATTGAAGCTCAATGTCAAGAAGACAAAGATTCTCACCACTGGACCAATTGGCAGCATCAGGATGGATGGTGAAGAGATTGAAGAAATTACAGAATTTATGTATTGAGGTGACCTGGTGGCACAGTGGGTTAAGTGCTGGGACACTCACGGAAAAGGCAAACCACCAGCTGCTCAGAGGCAGACAGACACGCACTCCTGGAAAGCTTGGTCCTACTCTGTCCTGCAGGGCTGCTCCCAGTCACAACAGACTTATGGACAGCAGGCTAGGGTAGCTTAGTTCCCAGAGGGCAAGGTTCCAAATAGATTCAATTACAAGTGTCATTTCTTTAGCAGGAATTTTAACCTCAGACCTACAGGAGGTAGTCATGGATAGACTCTTTGGTCTATGAATTTATATGGGAAGAGCTAGATCTGTATTTATATTAACGGCATCCTAAAAGTATTTCCTTTAATCTTGAAAGCTGGCAATTTTCTACAGGAGTATTAGCATGGTCGTTTATTAGTAGTTTTGCAAGTAACTCTATATATCGTTCATACTCTGCATTACTTTACACTTCTGGGAGTTAGTCTGCTACTAGCACTTGTTATTTAATAGGTTAGTGAAAAAGAAACATATTAGAATTATTTTAAACGTATCTTGAGAAAACATTTCAGTATTATTAGGTTTCCTTAGTTATTAATATACATAAATAATTGGGGTTAAGTGTTTGCCATTTAAAAATATTTGGAGAAGGAGGGAGCTGTGTTGGCTCAGTCTGTTCAACGTTTTGCTGCTAACCCAAAGGCAACACCTCTCTAGATGATTTGAATCCACCAGCTGCTCCAAGGGAGAAAATTGAGCAATCTCCTCCCATGCGGTTTACAGACTCTAAAGCCTGCTGGAGGGTCAGCTAAGGGTTAATTCTAATTCTATGACAATGAAAACAAATGGATAAACTAATTCTGAAGAGGAGTTCACAAGTATGCTAGACCCTAAAAGGTATAAGATATAAAAAAACCCAGGACATTGTCATAAAACAAAGAACTGTTTCTTAATTACCTTTCATCATAGCTTAGTGCAGGTGTATGGTGGTAATTGCTGCATGCTCTCTAAGTCTCTTCCTAAAATTTCCAATCTATGGCTCTTACTTCCAACATGGATTGAGGCTCAATGTCAAGAAGACAAAGATTCTCACCACTGGACCAATTGGCAGCATCAGGATGGATGGTGAAGAGATTGAGATTGTACACAGCTTTAGTTGGCTTGGCTCCACAGTCAACAGTCTTGGCACCAGCAGCCAGGAAATTAAAAGGCGCATTGCCATGGGAAAGTCTGCTGTTAGGGACCTCTCCAAAGTACTGAAGAGCAATGGTGTCTCTCTGGAGACTAAGGTGTGTCTGATAGAGGCCATGGTCTTCGCAATCACTTGTTATGCATCAGAGAGTTGGACAATGACCAAGGAGGATAGAAGGAGAATTGATGCCTTTGAGCTGTGGTGCTGGAGAAGAGTATTGAGAATACCATGGACTGCTAGGAAAACAAACAGATTTGTCCTGGAAAGGGTTAAACCAGGTGGCTCCTTGGAGGCAAGGATTCTGAGGCTCTGTCTAACATACTCTGGACATGTTGTGAGGAGAGAGCGGTCCTTGGAGAAGGACATCATGTTTGGGAGGGTGGAGGGACAACACAGGAGGGGAAGGCCCTCTATGAGGTGGGATTCAGTGACTGGGATAATCGGGATGGGAGTGTCAGAGATAGTGTGATTGGCCCAGGACAGAGCAGAGTTTAGGGCGGTTGTACACAGGGTCGCTATGAGTTGCAAGTGACTTGAAGGCACATAACAACAACAACAACATGGCTCTTACCTTTATTCTTTCCAGGTGAGAATTTCTCAAAACTTTATTCTCCACTATTATTGTATTTTAATGTTAAATTTAAAAATATTTATTTCTATCATGATTTTAGGTGAATAACTCCTAAACCAAGTTAAGTACACCTTCTTAAATCTGTTTAGAATCATTAACTTTTTCATCGCTCAAAAAAATGCTAACCTGGCTGGGGAAAAAATGCCGCACAAAACAATGAAGGATAAACAGAAGAAAAATAGTAATTATTCCTTAGTAAACTAAGAGAGCTCTGATGGCTCAGTGATAAAGAACTGTGCTGCCCAAAGGCATGTGGTTCAAATCTACCAGCTACTTTAAGGTAAAAAGATGGGCAACCTTCTCCCTTGCAATTTACTGCCTTTGAAAACCAAGTTTGTTGTGACTTGATGTCAGACAACAAACCACCAACAACTGACAACAGATCTAGTCTAAGTAGAATAATAACAAAAAATATAAATTGATAGACATGTTTGCAACTCAAAACATTCCTAGGCTTAAATTTTAACTCTACTTACAAGATAAGCCTGATGACGTAACTTTTATTCTTGCTTTCTCACTTGAAAAGATAGTATCTCAAAAAAGTTATTCAGAGGATAATGCACAGGTAGACTTTGCACAATCACAAACCAAACCTCAAGGAGTCACTTTTGATGCATGGTGACACTGGAGGACAGAGGAGGATCGCCCCAAATGCGTTCCAAGGCTGCAGACCTGCGTGGAAGCCGATGGCCTCATCTTTCCTCTAGAGAGGATGAGAGAACTGCTGACCTACGGGTTAGCAGCCCCCCCACCTAACCCAGCGCCCCTGACACATAACAAGTCCACAGTAATCTGCATGTATTATCTAGACAACTTAGGAGAAAAGTGACAAAATAATTATATATGTAAATATTAAAACATATAGTCCAAGAATATAATTCAAAATTACTTTTTTGCAATCTAAACACTGATTCTGGAGTACATACCGGATCAACTTGCCATATGATAACTGTTGTATCTTTTGATCCTGTTGCTAGTTTAGTGCCATCATTAGAGAATTTACAAAACCACACTTCATTACAGTGCTCCGTAAGTATCTGCTGTGTATAACATGGGAACTGCCTCCTAAAACAAAAGGCCACAATTAATCTTTCAAAAGAGAGTAAAGATTAACAAAATACTTCTTTGGACATAAATAAAAACTTATTCAAATAAATAAAAATTAACACACTTTGGGTTTACCAATCTAAACACAATAATATAGTAGCTCCATTTATATCCAGTTAAAACTATTAGAAAAGCAACTAGTTATCACAAAAAAAAAAAAAAAGTACTGCAGTCAGACAATGAGTTGAAATCTTTGTATTCAAGGCCTAGTTTTAATATTTTCTTTGGCATTTATTTAACCCATCTGAGCCTCAGTTCCCTCATCTAAAAAATAAGATTACTATGGACTTAAAGAGGTGCAAGAAATGCATCTCAAATTTCTAAAATGAAAAAGATATCTAAATGGTAATTACTAATGTTGTTCTGGAAGGAGCACAGAAGGGATGCAGTGGTTAAATAGATAAAGCCTTAAGAACTGGATGAAGAGAGAAACTCTGCAAACAAAGGTTCAAATCCTAGCTCAGCTATTTAGTAGAAGTTATTTCTTGATATTAATTTATCCAAGAGTGAAAGAAAGGCAATACCTTAAAAATTCCTTATATAAAGATGAAAGAAGTTTGAGGTAACGAATGTAAAGCATTTAGAATAAGCCTAGTGTCTAGCCAGTATTTCATAAGTGGCAATTATAATATTAAGAGTAAAGAATTCTGTAATATTTCAGTAACTTGATCAATTTATAGGATAACAGCAATTATTCTAAGAATGACTATTCTAAAACTTCTAATTGCTGTATCAGCACTACTCAAGAAAACTTACTATGATGATGGGAAAACATTTTGTACTTGTACTGGATAATATGGTAGCCATTACCAACATGTTGGTGAAGGGCCCAAGAGATTGGATTTTTATTTTAATATGAGTAATTTAGTATCAACATCTGAATTGCCCACATGCGGTCAACAGTAATTACTGTACTATTATTAAAAAGTTTTTTAATATTACTAAATAAAAAACTTAGGCTTGTCTTGAAAAATGGTCTTCCCTATCATTCCTATGCAATTTATAATTTTAATATACATTATGCCAACTCACTAGCATGAAAAGTATATTTTAAAATAAACTAGCATTCTTTATCTGGCACACATGGCAATTAATCCAAGCAGATGGCTATTCGGAGCTGCTCTAAACTTTCAGATTTAAACTATAAATTGTTTTAATGCTAAACTATTACTGTACATCTGAACTGAAACTGTTATTATTAGTTGACATTTGCTAAGCACTCACTAGGTTCCTAGCACTGTACTGAATGCTTTACACATTAAAGAAACAAACCCAACCAAACATAAGCCATCAAGTCAGTCCCGACTCCCAGCACCCCTCCAGGACAGAGGACAGTTAATTGCCTGGAGCCTTGAGACTGGAATCTTTACAGAAGCAGATGCCCATTTCTCCTCCAGCTGGTGGGTTTAAATGGCTCAACCTTTTGGTCTGGCAGCTAAGTGCTTCAGCTACTTTATAACTGTTTTACATACATATAAAAATAAGTAATTAGGGCTCTTTGCTTCCAAAATAAACTTGTAAGAAAATTATCATCATCCGTAGTTTCACGAAGAGGTTGTATAAGGTAAATAACTTACCATTATTGTAAAAGTATTTGAACTAAGAAGTGAACGTATGTCTGGTCAGCATTTTGTAATTTTAAATAGAAAAATTGTCAAGGTACCAGAATAAAATTTTAATTAAATATGTACTTCAAACACCAGAAAGAATCCCCCCACTTGTGAGTGTAGCAATCATAGACAACACTATACAAGGACAAAATATATAATTATTCATAGGCCTAAAAATTATTCATTAATGAAACCATGAGAGCATTAATTCACTAATTTGAAAGCAGCAGCAAAATTTCCTTCAGGAATGAGAGACTTGAAGACACAATCATCTAGTCTATAAACAATCAAGTTTTATTTGACTATGACCAAAGAATTTAAATTGTCATGCTATTTCTCACTCATCTTTTAAAGAGTAATGTGGTGGTGCTGCATTCTATGCCTTCAAGCTGTGCTGACACTCCCAGCTGACCCTCTGGCAGTTTTTAGAGGCAGTACTCGCACAGGAGACAGCTCATCTTTCTCCTGAGCAGCAGCTGGGGAACTGGAACTGTGTCTTTTGAGCGGCAGCACAACTCCTTACCACTAAACCACCAGTGCTCCCTAAGAGAGTCATGGTACATCCCCCAATTTAGTAAAAGCCGATTCTTAGATGTACAAAATCTACAATTTATATATCTTTGCTTTTAAATAAGTTTTGGGGCCAAAGAGGAGGAAATAGATGACTTCTACCAACTTTCACAGTCAGAAATTGACCAAATATGCAACCAAGATACTTTGGTAATAATGGGTGAGTGGAATGCACAAGTGGGGTACAAGGAAGAAGAATCAGTAGTCAGAAAGGATAGACTTGGTGACAGAAATGTGGCTGGAGACAGAAGGGTAGAATTCTGTACAATCAATGACTGAGTCACTGCAAACTCCTCTTATAAGAAACATAAATGGCAACTATACACGTGGACCTCACCTGGTGGCCTACAGAGTTATCAGATTGACTACATCTGTGGAAAAATCATTGGAGAAGCTCAGAAGTAGCAGCTGTGAAAACTAAGCCAGGTGCTGACTGTGGAACAAACCATCAACTATTCATATTTAAGTACAAACTGAAGCTAAAGAAAATAAAATCTTGACCTTGAGTCTATCCTACCAGAATTTAAAGACCTTCTCAGGAACAGGTTTGAAGTCTTGAGCACTAATGAGTGAAGACCAGAGGAGCTATAGAAGGATATCAAGAATATCATTCACGAGGAATGCAAAAAATCACTGCAAAGACAGAAGAGAAAGAAAAGACCAATAATAGACGTTGCACACAACACCAAGAAGCAAAGGAAGAAATCAAGATGTCAAGGAGCTGAACAGAAGATTTCAAAAGGCAGCACAGGAAAATAAAGCAAATAATGAAATGTGCAAGAAGCTGGAGTTAGCAAATCAAAGGGGACAAACTCACTCACCATTTCAGTCGAAGGAACTAAAAGATAATTCAAGCCTTAAGTTGCAATACTTAAGGATGCTGAAGGCAGAATGTTGAGTGACCCAGGAAGCACAAAAGAAAAGTGATAGGAGAGGCTCTATACCCAAAACAACTGGATGACAGAGAGAAGACTTTCATGAAACAACATATGATCAAGAGCCTATGGGGATGAAGAAGGAAATTCAAGCTGCTCTGAAGATATTGGCAAAAAACAAGGCCCCAGGAATTGATGGAATAGCAATTGACATATTTCAGCAAACAAATGCTGCCCTGGACATGGTTATGCCAAGAATTCTAAAGGACAACTACCTGGCCAACTGACTAGAAGAGACCTGTATTTATTCCTATTCCAAAAAAAGGGGACCCAACAGAATGTAGAAATTATCGAACAACATTACTTATACCACACAAGATCCTGCTGAATATTATCCAGAAACAACTAAACATAGAGAACTGCCAGTTGTGCAGGCTGGATTTAGAAGGGGCTGTGACACTAGGGACATCACAGCCAACATTAAATAGAACTTGGCTGAAAGCAGAGTACCAAAGGAATGTCTGCCTATCTGTGTTCACTGGCCATGCAAAGGCATTTGACTGTGTGGATCACAACTGTGGCTAACCTTAAGAAGAATGGGAATCCCAGAACATTTAATTATGCTCAGGTGAAACCAGGAAGCAGTGCGTTATGCAGCAACACGTAGGGAGGAAAGTTCTGTTTTGGACACTGAATTCAAGGTCCTCATGCAAAATCCAAACAGCTGCAGTAAGGTGTAGGGCTCGGGCAGTAAATTCTGCAGCTCTAGTTAAGACTGAAATCACTAAGGACCAAAGGAGTAGAACCTAAAGAGGAGATGAAGGCAGAAATGTAATTCTGGAATATGTGTTTACAAAATTTGGCAAGATCTTAGAAGTGTAAAAAAAAAAAATTTCTAATCACAGTAGTCATATACTATAAAAAGATTAAACTATAGACTGGTAAAGGACTTAAAATACAAACTGGAAATGAATTTATTAAAATAAAGAAGTTGCTGCTCACCATCACATCAGCAACAGCTCTGGTGGTATGCTACTGGCACAAGCCCTATCATCACATAAGTGAGAAGAATGAAAGGGAAGGAAGGATGAAGGTAACACCAAAGTATCTTTACTGCCATCCAGTCCAAAGAGACTCACAGCTGACTCACTCTCAGGTTTTTGAGGCTGTAATGTGCACAAGAGTTTGCACTCATTTCCCCAAACCCCAGAGAAAAAGAATTCTTCATGTCTATGTGAAATATGAGGGCTTTCCAACATAGATAGGAGTCTGGTGTCAACATGGAAAAAAGTCAGACCCAGGATTTTCCAGGATTCAGTTAAAGCATTTAGGAAAAATGAGATTTAGAATCCTACACATTTCCAAACACGAAGGCAGATAAGCTCTTAACCTAATGACAGCTTAAAAAAAAAAAAGCCAGCATATGTATTAATTTTTATGGCTGCTTGGAAGTTCCTCATTTATGCAAACTCCTCACATTTTTAGACTTTTGTCCTTCCCATTCATGTTTTCATTAGTTCAATAATTTTTGGGCAACAGAAATTAAGCATGTCCACTGCAGCTGTTCCTCTTTGGGTTTAGTTCATCAGAGCCAAATAATTTCCTTCCTGGAGTTTGAATGATTTCACAATTTGTTTTTCAATACTTGAAAAATTAAAACTTTGCATATCATCATTAAAACAGCAGGAGCATTTGTACCCAAAATATCTTAACATTCAAAGAGAAGCCTCAATTCTTAGAAAAAGTCACTATTCTAATAATTTTATTTTACAGTCCACTTCTGTTGTTAGGTGCGACTGAGTCAATCATGACTCACAGAAACCCTATGAAAACCTACGTGAAACTTGCGTCACTCACAATCTGACATAATTGAGCCGACTGCTGCAGTAACTGTGTCAGTTCA